TCAGACTGCTTTCGTGGGTAAGCCTCCCCTGCACTGTGTGGGTATCTTCATCAATGGATAGGCCTACCTGCAGCCCCCCTCTCTGCCTCGTTCCCACTTACATCTGTCTGGTGTTTCATCCACTCACGTCTGCATTTTACATCAGTGGGCTATTTTTGCAAAAGGCTGAGTGTCTGAATTTCAGCTTTTACAGCGCTCACATCATTTCAGCCTCTGGCACAGAGGCTACAGGGCTGCCTCTTTGTGTCTGGATGGAGCTAATGTGAACGCTGGGGGATAATAATGCCCCCCAACCGGAACGTAACACCTCTGTTTTCTCTGTGCTGTGCTGCTGTGAGTCACCATACAACATTTCAGGAGCACAGGAGGCAATGTGCTACAGATGAGCAAAAGCAGAGCTAGTTATAACAAAGCACACCAGCCCTCCTTTCCCGTGTGTGTCCTTCATAATTCAGCTCATCATATGTCAGCTAGTCACTGTTGCTTTTCTATTTCTATCCATCCATTTTTCTTTGACCTATCCAATTAGCACCCGCTGGATGAAAGAAGACATTAAGTTGAATGATTTCACCATTAGTCTCCAAACTATGATTTGAGCCTAGTCCTGAGAAGTATTAATGACATATGAGATCTCTGTGGACCAAATGAACAGTGTAAAGCTGAATTACAATCACACAATACAAAAGTGGTGTAGCTGAAACCTGTAAAGCTCATCCATGACACTTCTTTGTCTAACTGAAAAGGATTTTAGGGTAGCTCCTGATATTTGGCTACAGATTCATTAAACAAGGGTGCTTTAAAAACTAACAGTTTTATCTACCTCTGGCAAATGATTCAATTTGTGTTTTATAAATAAATAAAAGGAAAATTCTTAGTGCTTTGAGAAACCAGTTGTCTTTGAAAGAAATCCCATTCTTATTACTTGGTATTATCTTTACTCAGTTTCTGTTTCCTTTTATATCAGAGTTCATTTTCTGCACGGTGTGTCACATGATGACATTTAAGTAACTGGCACAAGTGTTTGTTTTTGTTGCAATTTGGGCGACATAACCCTTTTAAAGTATCATCTAATTGTGGAGAGCTCTCAACCGCAGGAATGCATGGCACTGGCGCGCCGGTGTGAGTTAATTCTCTTCTGCGTGTCAGGTAATAAACCGGCCAACACGTCTCTCCCTGCAGGTTTTCTCCATCGTGGTGTTCAGCTGCATTGTGAATGAAGGCTACATCAACATCGGCAGCGAGCGTTTGCTCTGCATCTTCAACAACAACGCCGACGCCTGTAACTTCGGTGTCACCGTGGGCGTGGCCTGTTTCCTCGGCAGCATCTTTTTTCTCATCCTGGATGCTTACTTTCCCAGCATCAGCAGCGTCAGGGACAGAAAACGTGCGGTCCTGCTGGATCTCGTCTTTTCTGGTACACAGTTATCACAGGCCGAATATCGTAACACACAACGTAGAGCTAGGTCCAGGAGCATTTGAGGTACATGTGCTAGACATCATCTTTTGGATATTTACAAAGAAGAAAATCCTTATATTTAAAATTATCTTGGCTTGCCCAATTACTTTTTACACCCCTGAATCCTAAATACAACACTTTTGTTAAACCCCTTAAATTCAAGCGGCAAGTCGATCAGTTTCAAATAGGCAAAACAAAAGTATTAAAGCCAAATCTCAAACATTTTAACAACAACATTTAAATATCAGGCATATAACACTGTATTCTTTAATCTTCTGGGAACTGCACATCTTTACTTTCAGCCAGCACTTGGCTTAGCTTAGCAGAACACTGGCAGCTAGCCTGAGTCCTGCCCGAAGACAGTAAAAGAAGTGCAGTTTCAATAATACACATCAGTCTTTCAATGTAATTTAAAAAAACGCTTCTGTAGTAAATGAAAGAAATCTGTCAGCATGACTCTTTAGGCTTAAAATGCAAGAAATGAATGTGTAAAAATTACAGAAAAAGTTGTGGTAGCTCATTGAGTAAACTGTCCTGTGATTGTAAAATAGGTTTTTTTGTAATTGACAGAAAGTGTCGCTTTAATAGATGGTCAAGAAACATGAAGATTTCTGTCATTTAATGTCCAGGGTGGAGGTCTGTGTCATTCATAAAAGCTATAAAACATCTGAAAATACAGTTCATATTTTCCAAAATTGTCCAGTGGGCTGGATTGGTGCTTTATTGTGGGGCCATTCATGGTCCCGGAGCCTTATGTTTGACACCCCTGTTTTAAAGGAAAGGATTTTTCTTTAACAGCAACATGAGCTTCACCTTTGTGGTGTTGAGTGAAACAGCGCATAATTTAGCACACATTCAGGTTGCTGTTGGGATAAATTGTAATAGCTGGTGATTCAGTCCGTGGTCATTAGTACACATTTTCAATCTATCCAATATGCCGGGTTATGAAAAACAAAGATTAATGATTGTCCTTCCTCAGCTAACAGTTTGTGTTTATATCTAATTAGGAAATGTTAGCACACTAATAACGCTCAGCTAAAACTATTGATCATATATCATGCTTACTGTGAGCACTGTGAGCAGTGCTGTACTAAACGTAGCCCATGACACCTGTTAATTCAGCGGCTGAAACTTGATTTTGTATGTTTAATAGTTATCTGAAGCCTTCAGTGCAGAGAAGCTGAGAACATCAAAGGAATAAAATATATTTTTAGAATGAAAAAAACATGAATAGAGTATAATCTTCTTTCTTTTTTCCCTTTTACAATTTGCTTCATAATCAAGTCAGAAAAACAACAGAGAGCAGAATCTGTCTTTAACATGAAAGGAGACAAAATTCATCTTTCCTGGTTCTCAAATAGACTGGAGACACTTTTTTCTGTAAAAAGTCGAACTGGGAAAAATGTGGTAATTATGAAGTGACCCTGCATCTAAAAGGCCTGTTTTCCTCTCCTCAAAGGTATTGCATGTTTCCTGTGGTTTGTCGGCTTCTGTTTTCTGGCCAATCAGTGGCAGGCGACCTCTCCGGAAGAGCTGCCGTTGGCGCAGGGCTCCGACGCAGCCAGAGCCACCATCGCGTTCTGCTTCTTTTCCATCCTCTCCTGGGTGTGTATGCTTACACCTGTCGATTCCCACTGCCCTCTTTGTCTTTTGCACGCCTGTGAGCATGTGGTTATCATCATCATCTGATATTTGATCACCTGCATGCTCGCGTGTGTGTTTTCAGGGTTATCAGTGTCTGCTGACCATGAACACATTTAAGAGCGTTTCCTTCACGGAGGTCGAGCAGCTGCTGCCCACGACCCCCCCGGCCCTCTCTCAAGTCTAACACTGCCGCACACACTTGGTTGACCTGGGCAGCTTCCAGGCGTCGGTGCTTGTTTGACCGTGTGTGTGTTTGTGTAGTTTTGCTGACAAAGCATCTCACTGCTGAGAACTGCATTGCAAGAATATATTTCAACTGAGACAGTTAGCTCATTTATTATCCCCTGGTGACTCAGTAGAGCCTGTTAAAACTAGCTTAACACCAACCTATAGCAGCCATTCATCTCACTGTCATCGGATAAGCTCTAATTGTGTCAAGGAAGTGGTTTCACTTTTTCAGTCATTTATTAACCATTAAGTTGAAAAGGACTCAATTGTTCCCCTGCAGAGGGTTAGTAGCAGGTGGCAAACAATCATATTAAAGGTTCGGTCGTCTTCAGGCTGTAGCTCCTCTCTGGAGGGCATTACTCATTAAACATGATTAGCGAGTGACACCTTGTAGTTGTTTGGGCTTCAAGGCTGTCATTTTTTTTGACAGGAAGCTTGTGTTTGAAAGCAGTTAAATCTGCATATAACCTTGTGTCGAACCAAAGAGGGTCTGTGTGAGATGATGATAAACAGCCTAGTGTCTCGCTTAAGTCACAGGTCCTTGAGTTTGAGGTTTTATCAGATGCACAGTAGTCTATAACAGTACAAAGAAGGATTTCAGTACTTTGAATTGTTCTTTTAGCAGCAGCTGGGATGGACTGCTCTCCCACTGTGACACTAAACTGGGGAAACTGGGATGAATTTTCCAGTTTGTTATCCCAGTGTAGAGCCAGTGTGGGTGTGAGAACTTGGCACCTGGTATTTCATCTGTCATTAAAATGAAACCTGAGGCATTTTGAGAAGGTTTCCAATTGTAGGCACAGTGTGAGTGACAGGGAGCCTAACACTGCTATAATTAAATGCATGTTTTATGCCCAGTTTCAGTGTGATAGGAGACACTCGGGTTTAATAAAAACAAATAAATATAATCTTACAATAATGATCGCAGCGCATTTATGTCTATGTGTCTGCATGTGCACTGTCACACATACACACAACGATTATTAACATTCATATGTTGTTCGATTTCCTGTATATTGGATTCATTTTATGAGTCGCCTGCAAATGCAATATCAGGTTCTCTGTTTGCATTCGTTTCAGTTTTCTTGTTGAACATATGTTGCCCATACTTAACGCTCACTGTTTCCTTGCATCTTCCAAATTTGTACCTACGACAGAATTTCTTCTGACTCACCACTAAATACACTAAGTAAATATAATTTAAAAAATAGCCCAGGCTTTAAGTAGTTAACATATTACTTATTTTCCTCTGTAAAACCATTAACGCAGCGGTCCCATTCTGTCAAATGAGCCTTATAGCGTCCATAACTCAATGAATAAGAGCAGCTTTTAGTTTAAAGAGTTTAGTTTAGCATTATATCTGTCATCATCTGGGTTTTGTGAGACTTCAGAATCAACCGTATTTTTATGAGAAGGTGGATTGCTGAGGTATCAGGTAATGTTAGCCAGCCTAGTCAGCAAGTTGCATACATAGACTTTGTGTCACACAGTCACAGATACTTGCTAAATGATGTTAAATAACATGCAAATAAAATACCTGAATGTCACCACAGATGAGCACAGACTAAATATGGCCTGATTCACACATAATTTTAAGCCTTCATGCCTTCACTGTTATTGCAATGTTATTAAGGAGGTAAATTGGCTATGGAGACCAAAACATAGTATAGCAGGCTGTAAACATGTTTATTTCTGATGTAAAGTTGGGCATTTTAACATGAGTGTCTCACTCTGGGAGCGAGCTTCGAGTGGCCACTCGAGGAACTGCAGTTTGATTTTTCAGCTCTGCAGGTTTTTATATTGTTACATTGCGCTGTTGTTTCATTGAAGACTCTGAAACTGCGTAATAGAAAAGCACAACACTTAATCCCAAGTGGTGTAAACCATCTTCTTCTTCACCTTCGTGCTTCTTCTGTCCATTTTTCGTCACTGCATCTTTAACCAACCCGTGCACATCTGCAGGCTTCTCTAAAAACAGAGTGTTACTCAGCGTGTGATTAACAGTGTTAATCGTTAACATGTGTGTGTCTGCGTGTGTGTTACTAACAGGCTGTGCTGACGCTGAGTGCGCTGAGACGCTTCTTAACCGGCAGTAACTCAAACTTATTCACCTGGCAACACCTGGATCCCATCCCTAGCAACACTCGAGCTACACCATACCCTATTGCCAATGGCGCTACCATAGTTACCACAAATCCCTATCAAGCTCCGCCCTTCACTGAAACCCTGGACCCCCAGAAGCTCACACAGCAGAGACCCTTGGCTCCTGCCTTCTAGAGACACACACTCAGGGAGAGAAGGACAAGATGTACACGACATGGACAACTTCCTGCCTCACTGTTGAGCGGTTTCTCCGTCCTCTCCTGGGATTGGCAGGATTTTGGGTCATGTGAAGCGTGATATGTTATCACCATGGCAACTGCTGGCTCAGCTTAGTTATTTGTAACTGTCTGTGTCAAGAATTCCGTCTTCTGCTCATGCACACACACAGATACCGGCGCACGCAAACACCGCTGTACTCCCTCACACCTGGAAACAGATGCACACACACACACACACACACCCAAACACACACCTGGAAACACATGTACATACACCTGGAAGAACACACGCTCACGCCTTGACTGCATGTTCATATGGTGAAGTGCAGATTAACATAGATGTAGATGCAGTGATGGTGCTCCATCTGCCTTATTAACAGATAACTTAGCGAAGGAAACATGGAGGACAGGGAAGCTGTGTAGCTATCTATTTCTGTTTGTCCTCAGTCAGCCTGGCCAATCACAAGCTGCCCTGGTGACACGTGAGCTCCCATTGGCTGAACGTCAAACAGAAGGTCGGTTTGACCAATAGATTGTGAGCAAAAAGAGTGAGGCCAGGCAGACCTTGCAGAAAATGCTACATTTTCTTAGCAGGGGAATAAAGGCAGGACTGCTTAATGCATTTTGTATGCTATGGTGTTTTAGTGTGAAATATTCATGTGATTCAATATTTTATTGTGATATGCTGAAGTGGTATTTGAAAATAAAATCTATCTACTACCACCACCAGTCTGCCTTTGTTTCCATTATCTTTAAATAACTTCTTTGCTTCCTGCAACATGAGAACACATTTTTTTGAAAATAATCATGTGTTGCGACAAAGATCCGGGGACGTGTTAGCATACTAATCACCATTTGCTGGAAGAAGGCCATAGAGTGGTTAAATTCATTAGCGGCAGCAGGCAGCTGCTGTGTGTTATCATTATTTTTAGATTAGGAGGCACGTGTTGAAGACTGCGAATGTTTCCGCTTCTGTTTCTTTTTACCATCTTGACACACGAGGAAAGGACAGAATTAGAAGAAAGGTTATTGAGTCAGATAAAAGTCAGACAGGAAGTGGTTTTATTCCAGCACTGTCCAATCATCTCCTCTCTTTGTATCATTCCCCACTTCCATTAATATGCAGGAACATTAAACGGCTTTATGAACATTTGCATCATCCACCATCATCATCAATCGTTACAACTGGCACCCCTCATCATCCATCCTCGTCATCACCAGCAGATAAATTGACATTCAAAAGTGTAGAAATTCACCTTTGTAGTTCTCCTACCACCCACTGTGTTAATAAAATAGATTCTTGACCTTTTCTACAAAGTTTTACGCATTGTTATGTCACCTGAATAAGCCCTTCTTTTACATCTGCGTCTGTCTGAATCACCTCTTCAAATTTAAGGGGCCAGCAGAGGGCAATCTAACTCCGCAAAGCTCTGATCGCACCACACTCAGCTGTGTCTGAACTACCTCTACCCTGAGAATACTAAGACGGAGGGGGGGTTGTGAGAAAACGGAGCTGACTGAATGTTTTGAGTGGGTGGGATCGGGGGGAAAGCGAGGTAGAAACTACTAAGGCCTAGGTCACGCTACATGATTTTAACTTAAAGGTTCAAAGAGCGGATTGATTTTTCAGGCTGTCAGGGTCGGGTGCATACAGGCCAAAAATCAACAAGACATCAAGGTTTTCTCAGGCCATGAGCAATCAAGCGACACCCAGAAGTTTACTGTAGGCCGTGATGAATGAAGAAAAAAAAACCTCCAAAAACCAAAAAACTGAAGATGAATCATATTGAAAATCAAAAACTATCTTTAATATAAAATTTCCTATTATAATATATCCAACAAGCTGCTGTACAGGATTCATTATTACTGTTGTGGAGGTATAAGTCTCTTATAAAACGGCATTGTGCCTGCACCATTCACATACTGCAGGTGTTCAGTTACAAATTATTATTATTTTTTATTACGTTTTGTAATTCTACTGCTTAAAACCACATTTGTAAACATAAACTGTCATTTCTGCACCACAGAGAACAAAGTGGGGGAAAATTCTATTCAAGTACCGGTTTGCAAATTAGGAAAATCATCAGATCTTATTAACTGAATGAGAGCTGAAACAGCTTGTTGATCAAAGGGTTAGTCAAAAGAAAACAGTTGGCAACTCTTGATATTGATAACTGACGGATACATTTTCAAGCAGCAATGCTGCGAGGGGTTCTGCTAACTAATCAGATTTGTTAGTTTTACAGCTTTTTCTTACTTACTAAGACATTACTCCTAGCCTGCTGTACCACACCATGGTAAGGTGGTTAAGTCAAGGAGTTGGGGTGATACTAAGACTGAGACATATTGTTGAAATCACTTATTTTCTTTAGGATTATTCATCATCTGTCCTGTAAATAGATGGTTTCATACATGCGACTCTATTTAGAATGTATGTCTTTACACTGAAAAAAAGGGGAACATTTTGAGGTGTTTTTCTTTTATATTGTTCAATGATTTTACTATTTCATTAAGATCAAACTGGGTTGTGTGTAGCCTAAGAACTTAAATGACTTTGATCCTCTTGATCCAAAATCATAATAAACTGACAACCTGCTGTTTGGTCTTTTTTGTCAGGGTAAAGAAATCCCAGAACAGCCTACTCTGTTCACCTGGATGCTGCATTTTCAGTGGGAAAAACATTTAATCACTAATCCTACTGACAACTTCAGTCATTTGACATTCAAAAATGTGGAAATTCAACAGTCTTCAGTCACTTGGATGGCTGAAAAAGTCATTTATCCCATTAAAAAAAAAGCTGCAACCAGATGAACAGAATCGAGTGCCTTGGGTTTGGTATTTTCACAGAGGAAAAAAATGTGATTAGACGTTACCGTGATCCGGTTATGTTGTGTGGACTAACAGGTAGTTGCAGCCCCAGCTGTGTGGTCTCTTTGTGTAAAACAGCAGACCAGTCACTAACTTAACCTGCAGTGCACCTTCAGAGTAGTTTTGTACTCTGACCTGGGCTTGAGGTGCGAGGAAAAGGATGAGCGAGTGGAGCAAGCAAGGGGGAGGGTTAGTGTTTGAGTAATATAGCTGCAAAGTGACTCTATGAGTGAACTAAAGCTAGAACTATGAGAGAAGAAAAGGAAACTTCTTCTTGTGTGCATCTCGTGTGCATACGGCACAAAAGGGGTCCAAGTCTTTGAACACATACACACTCAGTACACACACAGTCTGAGTCCTGCTCACACAACCTATGAAAACCTTGTGAGTGCAAGAGGCGAGGGGCGGGACAGGAGACGGGTATAATCCTGTTTCCGGCCGCGGCTCCCGTCCCTCTCGTGCACTAAAGCAGCACATTCGGCTCCTCCACTTCAAAGAATGACCAATCCCATCACAGGTTTGTTTAGTCTTCCACAGAACTTCCCTCCGGCAGATTAGGAGAGAGGCTTGTGGCGTCAAAAGACAAAGTCCGCCTCCTCAGCTCAGCGCTGCTGTCAGTTAGTTGGGTTGCGACTGGAACTGGCTCCTCCCTGGGCGGCGGGCTCATTCGCTGCTTCCTGTTCCTGCCTGAAACCGGGGACACCGAATGGCTGAGGCGGCTCCTGTGCTCCCCGGGAATCGGGGTGAGGTGTCTGCTTTTGTGCGGGGAGCTGGTAGGTTGCGTGTGAGAGTGAACAGAGCTGTTAATACAGCTGACCTCTGCGTCAGCGTCATCTGGCTGCGGGGCGGGGTCTGAGCCAGGAACGGGGCTGGCTGCTCTGGAGTCACAGAGTGGAACTGATACCTTCAAACTCTTCTCAAAATCTGCTTCTGGCTGAGAGCCACAGGCTGTCTGCTCAGATACGTGTTCTTGTGCAGCGGTATCGCTGTGGCTCCGGCTGTGGCTCCTGCAGGAGATGACCCTCTGCGAGTGCGCATATTTCACTGTGTGAACGCTGGACGACCGTTGCCGTGGCGGGGTGGAGGAGGCTGCGGGCACAGTGAGTCGGGGCTCCGCCAGATCGTCAGCTGAACTCTGATCCAGAGAGTCGAGGCGCACGGCCTCCTGCGGACACAGCACATTCACAAACACTATGAGATAGCCAATCGCAGACTGTTGTAAAGTGCGTGTAGGCTTGTGTGCTGCAGATCAACCTGGAGCAAAAGATGGAATTCTAAAAAATACATTTAGATAATTTTTTGTTCCTTACAAACACAAAAAGGCCCCAAAATTGATTATAAGCAACTACCACCCACTTCAAACTTTGCAGACGTTGCGATTTTAAATTTTTTGGAGAGATGCCCTCTAACCTCTCAGCTTGATTCCGATTCATTCCCATAAAATTAAAAAGCACCATCTAAATCCTTCGAATCTCACCTGGCTTATTTAATTGATTCAAAGGGAAACTGTTAAACTTGTAGAACTAAACTAATATAACTGTCTTCCTCTCCTCACCCCCAGCAGATATGTTATTATAGGGTCTTTACCTTACAACATAAAGCAGCTTGAGGCGACTGTTGTTGTGATTTGATACTTTATCAATAAAACTGAACTAAACTGAGCTGAAAAAGGTTTGCAGTGTGTTTGTGTTCAGCTATCATCGTCATAAAAACACACCTGTCTCCTTAACTGTCTGCTTGCAGCGCGGAAGGATGCTGGTCTCCTCATGGCTGAACTGTCAGGGACGTAGGAGGGGCTCAACTTGTTTCTGTCTAAACTGTCTTCGGGACTGAGCCAGTAAGAAGGACGCCTGCCGCCGCTGTGCGTGGGGCTCAGTCTGAGCGACGGATGCCTGTCTATGCTGTGGCTGGACATGAGCTTCGGCCGCTCGGCGCTGGGATCCGGATTCA